TCCCTGGAAAGAAAAATGGAAACAAAACCCCATTAGGTCAGGTAGAGCCAAACTGTATAGGTATGCCCTTCAAGTACTGGGTAGGGAACCCCTTCACCCCTAGAACAGCCCGAAGTCTTCATGGCATGGATTCAAAAAGGTGCTGGAAACATCTATTTGACATTCTCGTCCATGTTGACGTACAGCAGTGTGAAAATTGAAACAGGAGTAAATTTTCTGATAATCTCATATGTCTTTGTCTCCAGCTAATTAAAGTAGTTTGGGTTCTTTTCAGAAGAGTTTGCTACCAAGTTCTGGCAACCATCCAGCTATGGTGTTACCCTGCAACTCTAGTCAGTGCTACAACAGCTGTTGTTCTGTAAGGCTATTCCTGCAAGCATGCTCTGTGAGTGAATGTGGTTTTGCTTTATTCTCCCCTTCAGTTCATGATTTCTGCTGAAATTCATGAAGGATGTTACACCTAGGAAGCATGTAAGTATTGTAACTCTTAGAAAACATGCTGATTTGTGTATTGGACAGATCATCAAAAATTTAAGCCTAGCAAAATCAACTGTTGGTCAGATTCTGAAGAGTGCTGATGACACTGGTGATTGTGGAGTGTTGCATCAAGAAAGATGTGGAAGAAAACTCAAGACAACACCTCATGATGACAAGGTTATCATAAGAAATAATGTGAAGAATCCCAAGAAAATCAGCAAAGATCTATAGAGAAATTTGGTTTCTGGTGGCATAAATGTTGATTCTTCAACTGTTTGACAAGGTTCTTCATAGTTGGCAGAATTCCCAGAAAGCTGGTAAAGAAACAACTGACTGCTGCTATGAAGAAAAAAGACTGCAGTGGGCACTCGATCATAAGAGATGGATGACATGACTGGATACAGATCAGTAGTAGTGAGATGGAGCGAAGGCAAACCTCATAAGAATGGACACATTCAACAAGCGCCAAAACACCCACCAAAGATGTTTGGGGTAGTTTTACTGTTAAAGGCCCTAGACGACTTGTTACTGACGAGGGAATGATGAACAGTGACAAACACAAGGTAATCCTGGCAACTCATTTGCTTCCCGTTGTGGACAGTTTCCTAGTGGTAAAGGCATTTTCCAGCAGAATCTTGCTCCATGCCACACATCCAGAAAAATGCTGACATTCTTCCAAGAGAGTGGCCTAAGCATTCTAAATTGGCCTGGAAGCTCTCCTGACCTCGACCCAGTTGAGAATCTATGGGCAATAACAAAATGCAGGATTGTGAAACAGGACTGTTCAACTGTGAAGCTAACTGCTACTGTTATTAAGACCTGGTACCACGACAAAGAACTTGCCAAAATGTGTTCAACATTGATTGATTCTATGCTAAACCGTGTAGCAATGCTTATAAAAGCAAAGGGTAGTCATATTTCTTAACTAAATTACGTCATATCAATGCCAAATATTTTTCAAAAAACTATTAATTTTCTAAATAAATGTCTTATTTCACCATCGTCCCAATTAATATGCATTCTACTGTAGCACCACACAATTGCTACAGATTTGTTAACTGCACAATCATGCTCCCATTCTCCCGTATCACCACATTCCAAAGGTTTATACTTGATTCTGACCCTACCATCTGCATGTCAGAAACTGAGATTCATCAAACCATCCAACATTTTTCCAATCCTCCAGTTTTGTTGAACCTGTACCCACTGAAGCTTCAGTTTCCTGTTCTTAACTGACAGGGGTGGAACCCAGTATGGTCTTTTGCTGCTATATTCCATCAACTTCAAAATTCGACATGTACATTTGGAGATGGTAGTCTGCATACCACTGTTGAAACGGCCCAGTTATTGTCGCTTTTCAGTCAGCTTGAACCAGTCTGGCCATTCTCCTCTGAACTCTCTCATTAACAAGGTGTTTTCACCCACAGAACTGCTGATCACTGGATATTTTGTTTTTCACATTATTCTTTGTAAACTCTAGATATGATAATCGTGGGGGAGCGCTAAACCCGTAGGATTATACAGCGCATGTGGAGGGGAGGGGGGTGGAAGGTATTCAGGCTCAATCAGGGAATCAGAGCATAGACCCAATTCCCTAGATCAAGAACCCCTCACCAGCTTCAAGGAACCTCCCTTGAGGAGTGTAAACTCCAGACTCTGCTGTACCAGAAAATCCCAGATCAGCAGTTTCTGAGATACCGAAACCACCCTGTCTGGCACCAACAATCATCCAACGGTCAAAGTCACTCAGATAGTAGATCACATTTCGTCCCCATTGTGATGTCTGGTTTGAACAACAACTGAACCTTTTAACCATATCTGCATTCTTTTACACACTGATCTGCTGCCACGTAATTACCTGGAGTTTACCTGGAGAGAGTTCCGGGGGTCAACGCCCCCGCGGCCCGGTCTGTGACCAGGCCTCCTGGTGGATCAGAGCCTGATCAACCAGGCTGATTAGATATTTCCATTAACAAGCGCGTGTACCTAATAAAGTGACTATTGTGTATGTGTGTGTGTACTCACCTATTTGTGGTTGCAGGGGTCGAGTCTTAGCTCCTGGCCCTGCCTCTTCACTGGTTGCTACTGGGTCCTCTCTCTCCCTGCTCCATAAGCTTTATCAAACTTCGTCTTAAAACTATGTATGGTTTCCGCCTCCACTACGTCACTTTCTAGGCTATTCCACTGCCTGACAACTCTATGACTGAAGAAATACTTCCTGACATCCCTTTGACTCATCTGAGTCTTCAACTTCCAATTGTGACCTCTTGCTTCTGTGTCCCCTCCCTGGAACATCCTGTCTTTGTCTACCTTGTCTATTCCGCGCAGTATTTTATATGTCGTTATCATGTCTCCCCTGACCCTACTGTCCTCCAGTGTCGCCAAGCCGATTTCCCCTAACCTTTCTTCATAGGACATTTCCCTTAGCTCTGGAACTAACCTTGTTGCAAACCTTTGCACTTTCTCTAATTTCTTGACGTGCTTGATCAAGTGCGGGTTCCAAACAGGTGCTGCATACTCCAGTATGGGCCTGACGTACACGGTGTACAGTGTCTTGAACGATTCCTTACTAAGGTATCGGAACGCTGTTCTCAGGTTTGCCAGGCGTCCATATGCTGCATTACACATCTGGTTGATGTGTGCTTCCGAAGACATGCATGCATGCGCGCGCGCGTGTGTGTGTGTGTACTCACCTATTTGTGGTTGTACTCACCTATTTGTGGTTGCAGGGGTCGAGTCCTAGCTCCTGGCCCCGCCTCTTCACCGGTTGCTACTAGACCCTCTCTCTCCCCGCTCCATGAGCTTTATCAAACCTCGTCTTAAAACTGTGTATGGTTCCTGCCTCCACTACGTCATTTTCTAGGCTATTCCACTGCCTTACAACTCTATGACTGAAGAAATACTTCCTACTATCTCTCTGACTCATTTGTGTCTTCAACTTCCAATTGTGGCCTCTTGTTTCCGTGTCCCCTCCCTGGAACATCATGTCTTTGTCCACCTTGTCTATTCCACGCAGTATGTGTGTGTGTGTACTCACCTGTGGTTACAGGGGTCGATACGCAGCTCCTGGCCCCGCCCCTTTGCGGTGTGAATGTTTTGATCAATTGCCATTGCGTCCCTATTATGCATTTATAAATTTTAAAACTAAATTTACACTTAAAACACCAGGAACAATTAATACAATGATACAATCATAGCAGTGAAGCACCCAGATATCATGTGTCCCATACTCGTGTGACGAGAAGCAGGGGCCGCTATATAGTACATCACATGTGATATTTTTTATGTGATATTTTTTGCCCAATGGGCCAGTAAGCCAGCGGAAGGCCTTGGTCATATGACTAAAAGCACCGTGTCAGGAAATATTTATCCTGCTTCACGGTGAGTAAAATAGCACCAGGAGCTGCTTCTCTCTCTTCGGTATAATAATGAGAAACGAAGACTAGAACTCCATAAAATACACTGGGTTTCGCAAATTACATACAGTACGCTCCCTACTTAGCACACATTGTGGTGAGCCCTAGACATCTCACAGGCAAGGAAGATGGGAAGTCTCTCGCTCCAAACCTGTTAATTAAAAGAAGGAACCCCTTACTCCACAAAGGTTCGCATTCTCTCTCTCCTTAATAGGGAAAATGAGACTAGTCAAGTGTACGTGCCGCAAATATAATATAATGTTTCATTTTACTTCCGTCTCAATTCTAACAATAACTTGCTAATGAGGATGTCTTTATGAAGCATCACAAATACTGCTGATTTAGTGATAACGGCCTCCTCTTCTCGTATACTTCCGTTAATATGTCACGACTGCAACTAAACTTGCCAACTATGTTTTCACGTGACTTATGTTGTTCTCAATTATAACTCATAACTTACAGCGTACATTATCTTCCTCATATAATTTCCACATCTCCGTTTGTAGTACACAAACCACTATAATAACCACTTGTAGACATGACAAGACGTGGACAAAAAAAAAATTAAACAACAAGCGTCAACTATGAAGTAACGAAGCCAGTGCCTCCTCTATGCAAGCACAAGCAAGCCTATAACAACACAAAACGTTGTCACCTTACATTCACATTTACCTATCACTCACACGTTACACTTTTTTTTTACTTCTAGTTCACAATCCCCATACATATATTCATATAAACGTGCACGCATATTCAAGACATCGCCTAACGCCTCATATAACAAATAGCCAGAACCTTGCTAGTCTTTACAGCTCCACACACATCAGATATTTTCACCATGTCACTAGTCGGCAGCGACAGGTTACAGGGCACCTAACACCACAAATAACATATAATGATACAATTATCCGCTTCTTGACGTACAGAGACGTGCAGGCCATCACTAAGCCAGCCACTAATTCATTCTATCGCTAATTAAGGTTTCTTGTGTACCCTGGACCGGTTGCTACGCTGCCGCGGGAGATCACACCCAACAACACTTCTCAAGTCTTTACCTATATTGCCCGTGACCTTCAACCTTGTGCTAATCTTACAACCTGCCCGCAGGTCAGACTTCCCTGCTCACCACCAGCACCTCGCCCACATGGATGAAATACTGACAAGTACGAAGGGGAACTTTTATTGGGATAATGTTTCCCTGTAGAACTACGATAAAAGTTCTTTACAGCACGAAACATCACTGAATGCTTATTCTGGAACTTTCTTCGCCTTACACACATTGTCTGCCGCCATAACACCCAAGTCGAACATATACCATTAAAACCAAAGTCATGAAGTACACCCTCCAGAAAATTATTTGTTTCCTTCTCAGAGATTTACCTGAAGACAATTTCAGGGGAGGGAGTTGGGGGGGTGTAATCGTCCCCGGGCTGGCATGCTGGATATTAACCCGACCAACGAGACAGCTAGGGGTCTGTTGGTAATTTCCTTTATGTATGAAAGGAGAGTGTTGAAAAGACTTAATCCCTTTACACTTACTGTGTCATCTCCTAGTGTACTAGGTATTTTGCACCATCTGCCAAGCCATATCCACGTTCACTTCCACTTTCCTAACCCCAAAATCTCTCACCGTTCTCATTCATCCCTTCCTTATCCACAAACTCAGCGCTCCCAGAGGCCCATCAAGGCAGCTCCAACTCCTCCAGTCTTTCCACTCAAACATGCAGTTGTTAAGCAAGTCGATGAATATTCTAAATCCCCAATGTGTCTTCGTCCGTCGAGCTCAACATATCTGCTAAATGATTCACCTCCCCCACAAACGCTTTTAGTCGCGTAGCCGACGGCCAATGAATTATCTTTACTGGTTACAGGCAGTCCCTCCCCAACACAAATGCCAACATACTAATCTAGTTGAGGTATACTTTTTATTTTTGTGTGTAAGTACTGGGGATTCAATGTGGCGACTTCACAGATGCAAAGCACCGCCGTTACCCGTAACGACGGGTACCTCGGAACGATTTCTGATCAGATGGGCTGTAGGGCTTACTTTGGACTCCCTGCTGCTAACACAAAAAGCCTGACTGATCATGCTATCAACTAGGAGGCCTAGTCCGGGACTAACCGCTGGGGCAGCGACTCCCGAAACCATTAAGAGACAGGCAAAACAACCAGTGACGGCAGCACAGGTGAAGTTGATTTATGGAGGCCGGTCATGTCGCCTCATTGACTGGTAAATCACTGCTGCAGAATTATCAACACATACACAAACTCTGAATATTCTTCGGTTCTTAATACAACACCAAATATTCAAAGAACCATCCTCACCTTCATATCTCTGTAACTCACATGCACACACAATACCCTATGCCACACAACTAATGACTGTTGGAGACCACTTACGTCCACCTACAACACAACCTACGTATCCAGCTGTACAGAAATGCGCGAAAATATTCCCCTTCACCTAACCGCAAGCCTAGGAAATAATTGCTTCTCTCCTCCATACTTCATGCAGCCAAGATGCCCAAAACAGATAACAGCCATGACTGTGAATTTGCTTGCGACATCCATCTTCGTCTTATTACCTGAGATATTGACCATGGCCTTACTGAGTGAAGGACAAATCCAGAAGAATATGAACTTTAGACATTTCCTTGACCCCCAATCATAAACCTGTACACTTGAGATATAATATCCAAACAAATGTACAAGACTTTAGATCAGAGACCTTGTGATGGCTATACAAGCCAACAAATCCAGGACAACAACAGCCGGGTTCATCATGTGATCACCTCTCTAAACCTGGCACACATGTCATAGATAATGTACTTTCATTTGACAAAATAAATCTCTATACTTGAAGTTCCTTGTATACATATCGTTTTCCAAATATAAAGTACGGAACATATCAATTTAACGTACATCTCTTAGTAAATTTTATTTATGGTATAGCCAACAATTGCTTTAAAATTATTATAATCATGGGGAGCACTAAACCCGTAGGATAATACAGCGCCTGGGGGAGGGAGGGATGGAATGTATTCAGGTTCAATTCCCTAGATCAAGAGCCCCTCGCCAGCGTCAAGGAACCTACCTTGAAGTGAAGTGTTTTAAAAACACTTTTACGCAACTGATAAACTGCAAACTTAAATATATGATTAAAACTAATTTCGTACAAATCCAACCTGCACTCTGCATTTTCCTTTTTTTTTTTTTAATCTCCATTCATTCATACACTACCTAGTCTACGTACATCCGTTATGTACTAGTCTGTATATCTTCCTCCTTAAGACATTTTGTTTTTGTTGCTCTGCCGTGATATTTCGACTCAATCTCTGCTTTCTTTCTTCAAAAATATTTAGATGTGTCAGCCAGTGTACCTTAAATAATAAATTAGTGCAGCTTCACTGTTGAATATAAAAACGTTTCCCAACAACCTACAGTTTCCTTGATAAACACCAATAACAACTGACATCCTACCCCCACCCCCCAATCCCTGGGATCCTACCCTTTGTACTCACCCACTTATACATGGTTACAGAGGTCGAGTCCCAGCTCCTGGCCCCGCCTTTTTGCTGGTCGCCCCTAGTGTCCCGTGGGTTCCGAAACGTGGATTGGGTAATAATACTCAAGTAGGCGGTAAGTGCGTATATTCGACGGTCTATATGATGGGAAGAGCCAAGTCTGACCTGCGTCTCTCCTGTCTATCCTTCAACTGACTCATGAATGATGCCTGGGTGAGCGGCGTTCAAAACATGCTAGGATCAGGGGTAACGTCAGTGAATAATAAGTGATTCACACAGACGGTTGGTAGTGAGTCACTACTACTGACACTGGTAACTGGTACTACTGAGACTAGGTTCACTCTCCTAGCTTGTCGTACCTCTTCTTAAAGCTGTGTATGGATCCCACCTCTACCACTTCACTCTCCAGACTGATCCACTTTTTGGCTGAAGAAATACTTCTTAACATCTTTATGACTCATCTGAGTTTCCAACTTCCAGATGTGCCCTCTAGGTCCTATTTCTCATCTCTGAAACATTCTGTCCTTGTTCACCTTGTCAATTTTTCTCAGTATTCTGTAAGTCGTTATCATATCCCCCTAGTTCACCTGTGTCATCAGGCTGAGTTCCCTTGACCTCTTCTCACAGCACATACCCCTTAGCTCCGGGACTAGTCTTGTTGAAATCCTCTGCACTTTCTCCAATTTCTTGATCTGCTTGACCAGGTGTGGGCTCCATACTGGTGGTGCGTACTCCAATATGGGCCTGACGCACATGGTGTACGGTGTCGTCAATAACTCTTTACTTAGACATCTTAGATTTCACAGACGTGGATTTGCTGCAGCAGTTATTTGGTTGATGTGCGCCTCAAGGGATATGCTCGGTATGATACTCACCCCACGGTCCTTCCCGTAAAACAAAACAATAATGTATGATGGTTATACATTTCTGTGGATCATTTAGTTAATAATTGTATAATTGCCACATACTACATGTAATAAGACAATCGATAAGATACGCTAAGCTATCGGTGAAAAATACAGCTTAGCTGCAGAGGATGCAAGGTCAAGAACATATTATATGATTTGCTGCTCACCAGTAGTATATATCGAGTGGAAATTACACACTATAGAATAAAATGCCATTATCATCCTTTCAACTAATTAAGAAAAATATCAAATACGGACAAATTCCAAAATAAAAATAGCTAATGATAAAACAGGTAATTGGTAATTATTCCGTGTAAAACTGAGACGAGATTTCGAGCAGTTCAAGTGAACGAATGAGTGTGACAAGAGGAGAGAGGCCATGTGCAGGCTGCAGATCACATCAGCTGTGTCGTGCTCACACAAACATCACAACCTGCCAATTTACCAGCAATACACAATGTATAAGTACCTCTGTCTCTCTGATCTGCCCAAGGTTATGACACGACCTCTCACACTCACTACAAGAGTATGGTACTACGCAGTCAACGAACATAATCGCTCACTACATCACTTTATACTAAAAAAAAAAAAACTATTTTTTGGCATTCCATAACTTCTGCAAATGAAAAATCAAAGGTTTAAATTTCACACTTCAGCTACAATCAAGAAGTAAAAGTGATTTTTATATTCATTTATATCTGTGTATATTTCAGAGTCCTTGAGAACGCACCAAGAACCAGGCGTATAAAAGTGTGTAGTGTTGAGGCATGCAGCTTAGTGTAGCTATGTGAGCTCCGTGACCCAAACAATAGCCTGGGCGCCAAGTGTTCCCGCCCCACCATTGTCAAGACCTGCCTACACTACTCCACGCCTTCTTTTAAAAAAAATTCCCCCCACACAAAAAATATGCTTTTGTTATTCACATTTTTATCCTTTTTTTTTTAAACCGGCCCTCCCACACTCTCTCTCTACACAACCTGCAATTTTGACAGTCTTCTACGATTTTATAACATGTAAACCACACAATACCCAAAGCCTGTAAACCCCACATTGTAACCCTTATAGAGAATAAACTTGAATTGAATTTGCAAGATTTTATTTCTTTACAGTTTTATATTTCAAAATTTTCTGGTTTGGTATTTTACACATTTTCCTTAATAACATTAGATCATTTTCACAACGCGTAACACCATGACATCACTACCTAACAGACACATCCACCAGCAATCCTCACTTGCCAAGCTCAGTACTTCCCTAATCGGGTCGTATATTCACACGCCCGTAACCCGCCTCACCGGGTACTTCTTACATAAACTTATCCCCTTTGTTCGAAGGCGAATTAATGCTGCACTCTGCCAGAATCTGGCGAATTCAATAACGGTTCTCAATTACAACTTTCTGGACTATCAACTTTGTTGGATGCTTCCCATTAGATATTCAGCAATAAGCAAACCTCCCACAACGCTCTGATAGTATGCGAAGACAGGAAAAAAATGTTGGCACGAAGAGCGAGAGATTTAGAGCTAAGCTTCAAGGATGTGAATCACGGGTCCAGGCAGTGCAGCGTCACCTCAAGAGACCAAAGTTTACAAGTGCATACACATATACAATGTATCCTTGTCATACTTCCTTACCTCACCACGAGAAGCGATGGGAAGGAGACGAAAACACAAGTAAAAGGGATGGGAGGAAAGAGAATGAATGAGGGGATGGGCAACAGTGCAAGCGATGCACTGTAGAAGATGGGAGAAAAGAGGTAAAGTTTTCTAATTTAGTAAGGTTAGGTTGCTAATATGGGTGAAAATTTCAAAATTTACATAATTTTCATTCACAAAAAAAAAAACAGGAAAAAAACTATTGAGAAACTTCGTTATATCTAACAGCTTTATCTATTACAATCAGAACAACGAATTGTTAACTTTAGTAAAAATTAACTCTAAAACATTTAGGCGTTCAATGATTTATGTGGATTTAGCGTTTTTTTCTTTTCACATAATTAAAACAAGTATTGTACACTTAAGGGAGCTGTGAGGAATTTCTCGCGCGGACATGAGAATTATGCGTCTTCTTATTACTTGTGCTGTCTCTCACGTCCCACTCAAAGCAGAAGAGATCTCAAAGAAAATACATAGAACATTTACTGCCCGCATAGAGCTAATAATGTATAAGAGAACGCCTCAAAGTACTTGGAATATACTTTCTGGAGCAGAGATAATACGTACATGGCCCGGTGTCATGTGGCCTGGTAGGCAACGCTCTCGCCTCACAAACCCAGTGTCCGTGATTCAATCCCCGGCCTACCTACCTGGGGTCTACCTGGAACGCATTCCAAGGTTCAACGCCCCCGCGGCCCGGCCCATGACCAGGCCTCCTGGTGGATCAGAGCCTGATCAAAGAGGCTGTTACTGCTGGCTGCACGAAGTCCAACGTACGAACCACAGCCCAGCTGATCTGGCACTGACTTTAGGTACCTGTCCAGCTCCCTCTTGAAGACAACCAAGGGTCTATTGGTAATTTCCCTTATGGCGGGTGGGAGGCTGTTGAACAGTCTTGGGCCCCGGATACTTACTGTGTTTTCTCTTAGTGTACCAGTGGCGCCCTTACTTTTCACTGGGGGTATGTTACAACGCCTGCCAAGTCTTCTGCTTTCGTAGGGAGTGATTTCTGTGTGCAGGTTAGGGACCAGTCCCTCCAGAATCTTTCAGGTGTAGATTATGATATGTCTCTCTCGCCTGGGCTTCAGTGAGTACAAGTCAAGTGCTTCCAGGCGTTTCCAGCAGTTAAGGTGTTTGATTGAACTTTTACCCGTAGACCCCTGGTTGTCTTCAAGAGGGAGCTGGACAGATACCTAAAGACGGTGCCGGATCAGCCGGGTTGTGGTTCGTACGTTGGATTGCGTGCGGCCAGCAGTAACAGACTCGTTGATCAGGCCCTGATCCACCGGGAGGCCTGGTAATGGACCGGGCCGCGGGGGCGTTGATCCCAGGAATACCCTTCAAGTAGACTCCAGGTATACGTGCAGTAAAGGTTCTCTGTACATTCTCTAGATCTGCAATTTCACCTGCCTTGAATGGAGATGTTATGTACAGCAGTATTCCAGCCTAGAGAGAATAAGTGATTTAAAAGGATCATCACTGGCTTAGCATCTCTTGTCTTGAATGTCCTCATTATGCATCCTATCAGTTTCCTTGCAGATGTGATAGTGGCATTGTTGTGGTCCTTGAAGGTGAGGTCTTCGGACATTACCACATCCAGGTCTTCACATTGCTTTTTAGCTCTATTATGCGATTTGAGTTTGTAGTATACTCAGTCCTAGCGTGGAAATATGCCCAATTTTCACCTAGCAAGCAAGTAGGTACCTGGGTCGACTGGAGTGGGTCGCATCCTGGGGGACAAGATTGAAGGACCCCAATGGAAATAAGACAGTCCTCGATGACGCACTGACTTTCATGGGTTATCCTGGGTGGCTAACCCTCCGGGGTTAAAAATCCG